GAGTTGGAAACTGAAGCATTTTTATACAATCTGCCCTGAATTTTTAAGTTGCCAAGCATTGGGCCAAGCTCAGAACACAGCAGGCCTCTCTGCCTTGGATGTCACCAAGCATCTGGAACAAGATGTTTCCTGCTTCCTCAAATAAACACAAGAACATTATGGCTTGGGTAAAGGAAGGGAAATTCTCACAGGAGAATGGGAAAAAAAATCACAGAATCACAGAAATCACATAATGTCTGGAGTTGGAAGGGACCTTAAAGATCATTGAGTTCCAACCCCCCTGCATGGGCAGGGACACCTCCCACTAGGACAGGCTGCTCAGAGATGGAGCCCCCACAACATCTCTGGGCAGCCTGTTCCAGTGTCTCACCACCCTTACACTGAAGAATTCCTGCCTGATCTCCAACCTAAAACTCTCTTATTTCAGTTTAAAACCATTACCCTTCATCTTCTCACTGCAAGTCCCTGTAAAAAGTCCCTCCCCAACAACCCACTAAGTTTTCTGAAAATGATTTTTGAAACTTACTGACAGTTCTCAGAAATGTCCCATCTAAGATGGGTGGGGTAAAAGGGTCCAGGTCTGCAGAGAGGTGTAGGAAGCTACTAGGAGAACATGTCATCCATAGTATGGAAGGCATCTCGGTTCTCATTGTGGTTGAGAAACTACAAGGAACATGGAACTTCCTGACCACACAGCAAAACCCTGCATTTCCTCAGAGCAGCCTTGCCTGGAGAGTTGTCCCCTGAAAAGGCAGAGCTTTTGAGATTGTCTTGGAGATGCAGGCATGAGACAACACAAGGAAGCTCAAGCTTTTACCTTCAGCAGTGAAATCACTCCATCTACACTGAGGCAGTTCTCGTATTTTACTCATCTTCCTCATGAACTGAGACGGCATTATCTACACAAATGAAAAATGTTTCACTTTGGGCATTCTTTGCCTTTATTTTTAGCTCTCTGAAAGTCAAAATTTCTACATGCCTTCATGCTCTCCCTGGTGGAAGTATCTACCACATACAAACCCAGCAAATTTGCACTAATCTCAGCCTTGTGCTGGATTTAAAATTATTCTGTAAAAAAAAAAAGCCATCTTCTCCTTCAGTTGGTATCAGTGGCAGGTGTCAACACCTTCAACTTCATCATCTCCAATGGGGACTGGGAATAAGCGACGAAAAGTCTGCAATGGAAGAAATCTTATACAGCCTGAAAATCAGCTGAAAGATGTCAAAGGATCTAATGAGTACCCATCTATCAAGGCAGGAAGTTCAGTGAAGGGGATTTTATGGAAAGTATGGACAACACAACACTAAACACTAGAAGAATTGTAAAAGAATGACCCCAACCGTCACTTTTGGATTTTGTGCCTATTTTTAAATCATAGCTACAAGTCTTGGGTTGGGAGGGAACTGCTGAATTCTGCTGCTCCTAACCAACCAAACCCAAAGGTGCCTGCGAAAGCTGGGGTGCATGAGAGACCATCCCTGCCCAAATGCTCCCTCAGGCAGGAGCAGCACCTCCTTGGAGGTCTCATGAAGGAACGGTTCCAGAGGAAATGGAAAAAAGAGGCACCCAGGGCTGTAAATAGAGCTTGCAAGAGAGACAGGAGGACAGAGGACAGCCGACACTGGGCTGGGCAGGGGTGAGGGAGAGATGAACCAAGGAGGGTGAGGAAGTGGGGCAAAAGTCTGGGATCTGATGCAGGGAGCATGGGGGACTGGGTGCAAGATGGGGACCACAGCCATGGAGAGAGGGAGATGCACAGTAAAGCTGGTGTGTTAAGAGCGGTAGGAATGGCAATTAACTCCCTAGATGAGATCTGCAGGCAAACAACTTGAAGGGAAGGTGAAAAAATTGCCTCTTGACTCCTGGGAGCCATGGGTGAGGCAGCTGCTCTGAGTACACCTTCCTGAGATGCCTGAGGGAGCCAGGCTCCGTCTTCCTGCACAGCTTCCCTAAGGACACCTCAAACCTCTATCAAGGAACTCTGGTATTTCAGGTTGACCCACCAATTCCCACCATCCCCTGAGCAATTCTCCCCCTGCATTCCTCTTTGCAAAATCAACTTGTTTTGCAAGAAAGTTTGGTGGGAAGTTTGGTGGGATCAGACAGCTACCTGTCATATGATCAAAAAAATAAATAGCTGTGCCCCATCAGGTGGTAGGAAATGCTGCCGTTTCCATCACATGAGGCCCCACCATCTGGCCACGTGGTGGGCAGAGCTGGAGGCATGCAGCTTTTCACTGCTGCCATCCTTGGTTTTGTGGCTTTCTCTATTTGAAAAAGAAACATTAGATAACATCCACCCAGGCTGTGCAATTACCCACAAAAGCACAGAGCTAAGTTGCAGACTGAACTGCTCTGGCATCACCTCTTCCCTTACACTGCTTTAGGGCTTGATTTTGGCCGAAGTGATTCTGCCTCTCTACTCTGCTCTCGTAAGATCCCACCTGGAGTACTGGAGCCCTCAACACAAGAGGGACATGGACCTGTTTGAATGAGTCCAGATAAGGGCCACATAAGTGAACACAGGGCTGGAGCACCTCTCCTACAAAGACAGGCTGAGAGAGTTGGAGTTGCTCAGCCTGGAAAAGACAAGGCTCCAGGGAGACTTCATTGTGGCCTTCCAGTGCCTGAAGGGGCTACGGGGAAGCTGGGGAGGGACTACTGACAAGGGTGTGTAGTGATAGGATGAGGAGCAATGGCTTTAAACTAGAGCAGGGTAAATTTAGACATTAGGAAGAAGTTATTTACAATGAAGGTGGTGAAGAACTGGAACAGGTTGCCCAAAATGATGGTGAAGGCCCCATCCCTGGAAACGAATTCAAGGTCAGGTTTGACAAGGCTCTGAGCAACCTGATCTAGTTTAAAAGATCCCTGTGCACTGAAGGGATGACCTTTTAAGGACTAGATGACCTTTTAAGGTCCCTTCCAACCCCACACATTCTATGATTCCATGAATTCAAGTGCTCGGTGACAAACCTGGCATTCCTTCACCACTGAGTATTACTTCACCAACGACTTCAGATGGCTTAATAACAACAGAGACAAGAAGACACTTTTTCAAGCAGCAACTCTTTATTATTGGGAAAAACATTAGGACTTTTATTTTTTTTCTCTTACATATAATCGATTTGAATAAAAATAATTTATTTTTTTTATTATATTACATGAAAAAAAACCCTAGAAACAAGGACTGTGAATTTTGGAAGCAAGAAAACATAGACAAAATTGTTCTTTAGCTGCTGAGATGTAGTACTTGGATTTTTTTTTTTTTTTACCTCAAATAGAGAAACAATCACAACTGTCATTCCAGTGAAGAAAATTAATTGATAACTTTTTTTGAGAATGGTATAGAGTTACACTAGAAAGTATTCGTAATATAATGTGAGTTCTAGCATATTACCTAAAATATATAACTTCTCAGACTTTACAAGGTCAAATATTTTAGACCATATTCCAGTGGAAAAACATGACAAAACTATTACAATCTTTTTAAAGTTCTTCTTGAATTAACTTTCATTTCCTTTTGAGGAATTTTAATATAATATTTCAAGCAATAAAATATTGCATATAAACTAGCCTGCAGAACTTTACTCACACTAACTTGGACAACCACAGATTTAAAGGATGAAGCACCTTTAGTAACAGTGATAAAGAATCTCTGTTACTGTAGCTGATGAAGAAGCAGATTTTGTGCAAGATTTGTAGAATTTTCATGACATTTCTGTAAATTTGATAAAATAACTGCATATTCAGCAAGAGGAAGTTAAACTAATGGGAATTAAAATATGCTTAAGGCTAAAGCAGGATTACAGTGTTACAAGACAAAGTTTCTATTAATTAATTCAATTCATATTATCGGACATAGACTCCAAATAAAATACTGATTTCTGTTTTTCTTTTGAAAATGCAAACAACTAATTGCAATGTCCAGTCCCTGGCTTACCTTGTCTCTTCTCAGTTGAACGTTAATCTAATTTGTCTTTTCATTCAGCTCTAGGGTAACCAACACCATTCAGCATCACCTGAACGGATTCTAATTTTAAAAAGTCCCAAAAGGCAGGAAAAAAAAAGAAGCAATCAGTGTGCCAAGGTCTTGCTTTAGAACACCAACTACTACTTGCAGAAACACACAGGGTAAAAATGAGACTGAATTCGTGTAGGCAGTTTTTCTGCACTGAGAACCATCTGCAATTGAATGTAAATGTACCAGTCGTGGCTGATGGAAAACCACTTTTCACCAAGTATAAGGAAAATACTATTAATACAATCTTTAAAACTGTTATTTTGTAACAGTCTAACCTCCAGGGGTCAGTTCTCTTAAAGAAATGATTGAAATGCTGGCTGGTGCCTCAGCCTGACAAACAAGCCAATGTGATCTAAAGCGACCATCTCAAGCCCTTTAAAAATAAACATTGAATTTCAATATATTTTGGGGGATTTTTGTGTTGTGTTTTTTTTTTTGTTCTTGGCTTTTTTTATTTTTGTAACTGTCTGCTGTTTCCAGCACCAATTCAGAGGCTGGAACGTTTCATTCCTTCCTCTGCTGGTTTTGTCATTTTCCACTTGGCAGCCCCTGACTGCCACACCCCGCTGCTCCCCGCCGCGCCGCAGTCACCGGGACCGCCTCCTTCTTTCCCTTGTCTGTTCTCCACATTGTCAGTGGGATTTACAGCCCTGGAATGTGATTTCTGAATTCAGATACGCTCTCTTTTTGTAAGGAATGCCTCATTTTGCAACCATAGCTGTTGAAAAATATGGTAATTTGAAATAATGAGCGGGCAGGGGCTCTTTTGAGATAAATCAGGGATGCAATTCAGAAAGCCAAGGAGGTGTTTTCACCTGACTGCAGAAGTTTTAAGAACAGGTAAAATTTTGGACTTAAACTATGCCATTTGTCTTCCTTTGTAAATGAAGAATTACTTTTAGTTTTACCAAGGGATATTCTACTGGTATGAACTACAGAATTTGTGAAATTATTACATCTATCTTTTCTAAATATATTACTCATTTGTTTAATTCATTCAGGAATCTATCATACTGCCAACAAACTACAGTAATCCAGAAATATTTTCTGCTTATGGAAGGAGCTTAATCACTAAGGCACATCTTCCTTCAAAGCTTCAGTACTTTTGATCTGTAAAAAGCATTTCTCATTGAAATAATACTGAAGTGGAGCCCAAGCCCTCCTCCATCTCTACGACTGTTAATTAACTCCTCAGGACAAAATGTTGATCACACTCAATGACAAGATATACTACTGGTTCTCAAGACAACTCCAGTGGTAGCTCTGGTGGTACAACCGTGTATCTTGGGTCAAGCTTAGGTGTGAAATCCTTGAAGTTCTTAGATGCTTCAGTACCAAAGACATCTAAAGCTTTCCTGTTCATGAGAGCAAACCTAAAAAAGAACAGACACGAGAAAGTAAACAGGACTATCCATTTACTTTTTACAAAACAAAATAATTACAACTTGGTAAAATATTTTGTAATTTGATTTATTTATAGAATTATTAAAATTATTTCATTTAATGAAAGACTACCCAAATCTTTGAAATCCAGACTTATGCCTGCACTGTTTAGAGATTTGCAAGTTTTTCATCTCAGGCAGTAAAGACTTAAAAAAAATTCCATTTGACAAATCTGATAAGCAGTGCTTTGTGGAGATACACTTTATATAACACAACTTGTGGAAAAGAGGACAGAGCCCCCTTCTACTTTTAACTTCACAATAGAAGTAAAAGTAAGTAAAACCAAAACATACTACTCTTCTTTCTCACACTAGCCTCACAAACTCTGGCCATGCCTGCCCAACTCTGGATAACAATTTTATAGGTGTTGCAATCTACTTCCATCTCTTTAGACTTCAAAATTGATGAGTGAAAGACCTATTAAATGTCTAAAGAATGGGTCTCTATGGAGAAAGTGTCAAATTTACTATCACAGAGATTTGCTTTAGATTAAACAAAATATGAGGACAAATGAGCACAGAGCTCTTCTCTTTTCTAAAGAGAATCTTTCCTAAAGGAATCTTAGGATTTGCAGAAGAGGGAAAAATGCAGCCAAAATTGGACATCTGCACTGACGTCATCCCCCATATCATCTTTGCACAGCCTCAGAGGTTGCCTGTGGATGGCCTCCAGGCATCCCAAGGAAAGCTTCCCACTACATCCAGCAATGTATTCATATACTTCAAGTCCAGCTAAGACTGGGCTGTGCCATCGGAAGTGCAGGTTCAACATGCTCCAGGGCCTGGCCTTTGATTTCACTCTGATTTTTACAGTCTGGAAAACTCACTGTCATGACAAATGTTATTTTTTATAATCTCATTTATAAACTGAGCTACATCACAATTCGGATGCCTTGTTTCTGCCATACAGCACATCAGTATCTAAGTGTACACTTCACTCAGCTGTATTTTTATAAATCACTTACAGCAAAATCTATTTTAAAAGGTAAGCATTTTAGATCCTCACAGCAAATAAGAGAAAAACTATCCGGTAACATATTACAGGGTAAATTTATGGTTGTTATCAGTGAAAATATTTCATTAGTTCTTCAAGAAAAAAACATTCTGTTCCCAACTAAAATAGATGTCCTATAAAAAACTTGAATCTTCAGAGTATTCCTAGGAAATATTCTGACATTTCTAGGAATGTTTTTAAACACATAGCACCATGTTGTCAATCGCTGCACATACTAAGTGATTTCTCCAACCTGTATGGTTGTTTACCAGATTCTTCATATTCCATTGAAATCAGAAAGCATTCCACCCTTCAAGTGAACTTAAGATAAAAAAGCTTTCAAGAAAAACCCTTATCTGCTAAACAGCCTTAACTAGATTTAAGTCTTTGCTCCTGTCATTAGACTAAACCTAGCAGTGTCACTGCAGCAGCAAAGAACCTCAAGCAGATGGGAAACCATTTGAAAAGCAATTAGTCAGGAAATGAGCCCAAACGTAGTTTGACAGCTCTGCTCTTGACACAGAATGACACAGAAGGATAAATGTGAGCAATGGTGTGTTTAGACAAGCCAGAACATACCCCTGAATACCTACCTGCCCTTTGTTAGTCGCAAAAGAAATTTCCAGTACGAAGGTCTCAGGTTCTGCACCTCCATGACAGCCTGCAAGGAAAGTATTCTGTCAGAGACAGCTGACAGTGTCAGGCAGAAGCTTCATCTGCTACATTACGTTGCCAAAATCAGTGAAAAGGTAATGATGGATATACATACTTAATAAAAAAATAATACTTAAAAATCATGCCATGATTCATGGATTGAAAGCAGCCATGATCACCTGTCAATGTCCAGTGCTACCAGTAGACCAACCACTCACAGCTCAATTCAATGCTCTCTATGACCACCAGCAGCACACACTGATAGTCCCAGAAGACTCTTTCAAAAGTGGTTTTAATTAACTTAAGTTTTATTGTAGGCAAAGCTACAATAACCCTTATTATTCCTAGGTACATGATTTTGCACTTTTGGATGCCAACTTTACTTGCTATTTTATCCCACTCTCATTCTGCATTTTGGGATTTACCATTTCTTGCAGCCATCTTTCTATTTCACATTACACACAATGTTGTATACCAAAATCCTTGTCTTCTCTCTATTCCATTACTTTTCCAGGCAACTTATGAATACAGTAAATAACACACTTCTCAGTATAGATCCCTTTGCTCATTTCCCCCTCCTTACTCCCTCCTAAACCTAGTAATTTATTTCCAGTCATGAGCTCCTTTTCCAACTAGTTATTAAGTAATGAAAAAAACCCTTTCCTCTTATCTCATATTAACTTTTACTTCTGTTAGCCTCACAAGATGGGCCTTGCCAACAGTATTTTGCAGATCTCAATGCTGCAGACCTTCAGGAATATCCCAAGTACTAAAGTGTCATCTCACCTTGATACACGAATGAGAGATATTCCCAAATACAAGGGAGCAATGAGGAGGAGAAGTGGATCAGTTCTTTATTGAGGGGTACAAAAAATGACAGCAGCTCTAGAAAGGGGGAGATTTAGTGGAATAACTACTAATAGTAATTAGTAGTTGTTTCCTACTGAAAAGGAGTTTTTACAGCTAATGTAGCTGATTAAGGGACTGGTGGTGAAACCATGGAACTGACTTGGAAAGGGAACTACAGCTTGTTGCAGACATAACACTTCAGATTTCCTTGCTAACTTTTGCAGTCTTTCAAATAGGCAACTTGAATTCCAGTCAGCTGAAAGTGAAAAATGCCAGTTGACCAAAAATCCACAAAATAGTACAATATATTGTCTCCTTGAGCATATGCTTATGAAAGTCCACACATTTATGTTCATCTTCTGGGTCAATGCATTTTAAGATCCTTTCCAAATAATTCAATGCTTTGCATCATGCATTCATCTACAAATATATGAGAAATTTGAGTCCTAGATATGATGTCACTCTCACTGTGACACTCAAAAGCAGGAAGCAGAACGCTTGATTCTCAACACTGTGCTGGACTCACTACCATCACACCATCTTTTATATATCACTGTATCCTTGTGCTCCTCATTCAGCATTTGACTTAAACTAGAAGAGCTTCATCTGCTGTTAGAAGAAAAGAACATACTTACTGCCTGAAAGCATATTGATGTAGAAATGGCATAGATGATGCTGTCTGCATGAGGAAAATAGGGAACCTTTCCTGCTTCAATGCCTTTGAAGTATATAGTCTATAAAAGTAAACAAAAAAAGCTGAATGAACCAAAATAAACAAAGCAGCTTTTTAGTTCTCATACTTTGAAAAGGTAAAATAACAATGTCAACATTTTTAACCTCTGCTTACATATTTTTCTGTATATCCACAAATGTGACACTGATTGAGCTATTTTATAGGAGTTATTCAAGGTCAATAGAGAGGCTATAAATGCCCAGCACAGGGTCTAGCAACAGCTTTGGTGTTAAAAGGGTACTATAGATCTCAAAGATAAAAAAGGGAAAGTTTGCTATATTAAACCCTTCATTTTAAAAAAGCAAAAGAACAATGCAATAGCTATTCCAACAAAATGAATATTCACTGTTCTTAAACAGCTTGAAATCACATACTTTCCTTTCTGAGAAAACATGTAAGGTTTATTTTCCTGAGCACAGCTTGACCTTCCAAAGCAGCACACGCCTCTTTGGTCAGTTACCCTTGGCTTGTGCAAGATGATAAAAGTAGCAAAAAAAACCCACCCAAAAACAACCAACAAAAAAACAACCCTGAAAGAAAGAAAGAACACACAGCACTTTTCTTATTTCACTGCAGCCACAATGTCTCAAAGTCCAGAGAAAACCATCAGCAATACAAGATAATATTGGTTTTTTACAACTGATGTTCTAAAAGTCAATATGGGTAATTCATGAGTTGCTTTTCTGTAACTATTATGTGAACCACCTTCAGAGCCTGGCATAGGATTACAAGGAGCAAGAATAAACAAGAGTACATCTTCCTTTCTTATGTTCCATCTTATGCTAAAAATAAAATAAAAAAAAAAGTTCCTTCTTTTTATATTTTTTGAAATGAATTCTGCTCTGGTGATGGAGGTGGATAAATATCACCAGGGAACAAGGCCCTGGAGATCTGCAGGAAAAAGCTTTGTGATTCGGGGATGATGCATAATAAGAGAACACTCTCAACTTAGTCCAGTGGTGCTGCTGGGGAAATAACCATAAGTAAGCCCCAATATTATGGAAAAATCACAGTAAAGAAATCAGAAGCTGGTTAATTAAGTATAAACAACATACCCAAACTCTAGAAATTTATTCCCCACCTCTCCTCCTCCCCTTCCCGCTTCCCTGCCCCCGTTCCTAATTTTAACCAGTTCATAGAAATAACTGAAGCCTGAAAAATGGCAACTAGAATAAAGTTCATTGCAAAGCTGGGAACTCAATCAGGTGAAGTACACTGACAAACAACTCCAGCTATAGACTAAAACCTAAGCTATTTTGAGTTATCTCACATTGTTGAATGCCAAAATTAGGGAACAAAGGCAGGAAGTTATGTTGCAGCTTTTGGCAATAAATCTGCAATTAAGGACTAGGTTTGATTTATGTTTCTGGCAGAACAGACATTCTTGGAACTTTCAGATTTTAAAAATCTGCAAAAGCTACAAAGCAAAGGGCTATCAGGAGATTAAAAAAGAAATCATGGAGAATATACATTGAGATCAGTGGATACAGGAATTTTAAAATGAGTCATAGAGAGGAAAATAAGAAAGACGTGAGACCACAGAAAGGCATTGCCTCTTGGCACACACCTACTGCAACACACCGCTGCCACACAACTTTATATTATACTGGAATTGTTTCATAAAGCCTGTGAAGTTAATTTGGGTTTTCTGCCTTGAAAAAATAGATGAAATAAAGAATTCTGGTTTGACGGTAACATCTTACCTCTACTAATTTGGACATCAGATACATAGAGATAGTAGTACTTTTGTAAAACATCATAGAAATTCCTGCTAGACACCCTGTAACAATTAGAAAACAGAAGTATTGTTAAGCTTGTGATTTATTGTTGCTGTTGCAGTCTGACAGCTCAGCAGACACTGCACAGGATTAAGCTTTCCGTTGCTACAACAAAGTTCAGTGATGTTCCTGTACTGTCCATCAAAATATGGTTTATGTCATTAAAAAAGAATTTTGAATCCCTTAAATAAACCTATAGCCCAGTACTCGGAAGCACAGCATCAAATTTCCTCTGTCAACCCACAAAGAGGAGACACCTCTGAGGTTCCCATACTGGATAGATGCACAAACAGCAGGGAAGGGCCTGCAATATTATATTAAATTCAAGGCAAAATGGGACCTTCTTCAGATCCAGTAGAGCCCATCCTTTCAAATGTCTACTCTGTCACATACAGAATAGTCGGTATTTTAATCTCTCACCCCTACAGTTGGGAAATAAAAGACATTTGGGCATACAATATATTGCCCTTGAAGCTGACCATAAAAAACACACCATTTGATTCAGTTGGCCTTGCAATTTTCATTACAACTCTGTATTTGAAGCTAATTGAAACACCAGTCTCTTTGACACAACCTTGATGTACACAGTCCTACTTTCATCACAGAAGTTTGAAAAGGGAATGGGAGGATAGAAAAGAGAAATATTAGCAGAGTACCAACAGAAGCAACATAAACTTCTTTTCATGGACTCACCAGCTATAAGTGCATGAAGTTCATCATCTAGATTCCGTACCCAGCGCAGGAAGCAACTAGTACCCTGTAGGTGAACAGAAGCAGGATGAGCCCTAGTTATTGCTCCTCCACCATACAGAGACTGGAGATACTCCTCTCTAAGTTAGTCATAGCACACACAGTATGAATTCAGTGTGTAGTGTGACAAAGCCCATAATCCACCATACCTGAAACATTACACTGTTTTAACTAACAGTTCACTGTTACTGTTCCTTCCAAAATCAGACCAATCTAATTTGAATACTAATCAAACTCCAAAGCTAAGCTTGAATTCACATAATCTACATTTGTTGTAGTTGTCTAGACTCTTTCCTATTATAGTATTTTTTCAAGTACACACCAAACAGCTTGAGATTTTTCCATACATCCAATAAATTCTGGAACCAGGAAAACACATTAATCTAAGAAGTTAGAACTGTGTCTGATTAAAAGATGCAATGAAACACATAATAACCTGTTTTTTTTAACACAGACCCCAATATACAGATGTTGAGGCCAGAACTGATGTAAGTAATTATGGCTTAGGTTGCATTAAAATATATTTCATTTGGATGACCATTGGTTTCAGATGTATTTCATTGGTTACTGAATGATCCAGACTGCTCCACATTTGCCACATCCTCTGCATTGTTTTTTCCCACTATTTTGGAAATTCATAGGTTGCCTCCAAATTTTATCTCTGTTAAATTTCTGTTTGCTTCTAAATGGTTCGAGAGCTGTTTAGAAGGGCCCAATCTAGTGCTGATGGCACCAAGACAGCATGATGTAATTCAGTTCACTGATGTCTATTTTGAGATAGGTGTGTCAGCATTTAATCCATCTCAACTTGTGCTTTTCATGGAATTGTACAATGATTTATGTTGCAAGGAAGATCTGGAGATCATCTGGTCCTACCTGAAACAGGTCTAACTAGAGCAGGTAGCTCAGGAACTCATCCAGTTGATTTCTGAGCATGTCCAAGGATGGAGACTACACAACCTCAGTGGGCAGCCTGTTTCAATATTTGGTCACCATCACATGAAAACAGATGTCCTTATACCTCTTTGTAATATCTTGTATTTCAGCTTGTATCCATTGCCTTTCATTCTGTCACTGCACACCTCCAAGAGATGTATATAGCAATAAAATCTCCCCTGGGCCTTTTTTCACCAGCTTCAAACCTAGTCCTCCCAGCTTTTTGCACATTGTCTGACCCAGTCCTCAAATCATCTTGGTGATGATTCACCCTCAGGTGAACCCACTGTTGGAAAAGACATTAAAATTAAAGGAAGAAATGAAGCAATATGCAAAAATGGACCCAGTACCAGAGATGTGGTCTTATTAGCTATTTTACAATGTATATTTAAAAAAAATAAATTCCTTGCCAAACCATTGATCCATTGCAATTACAACAGTCAACTTCACTACTCAAACTTGTCCACAGTAGCCTGGTTTCCTTTTTCAAATTATTTTACAAGTTATTTTCTGCAAAACCATGTTTGCTGACATTATTTAACAGTGAGGGGAACACAAAATATTAATATTATAGCTACTACAATCCTACAACGGCATTTTGGACAAGCTGGAATTTTTTTTTAAATAATGCAGTTCCTCTGAGTTCAAAACACATCAAACATTTCTTTTTTTCTTTGGCAGTGACCCAATCTTTTGGAGTGACTGGAATCTCTGCTGCCCTATGTGTTTATTTCAAGGCAGAAGAAAGCAAGTTATGAAATACAAAGAGTACCAGAAAGTATATACTTAATAAACTATAAAGAAAGGTCAGAGTATATTACTCTCATAAAATGAGTATAGAGCCAAATTCACTTTGCAGTTGGAGCTTTTAAAAGACATCAGAATCATTTCAGCTTTTGAAATCTAAATGCTTTTTCCTCTAAAAGCTCTTTTCTTAAAGTTTGAGCAAAAATTTAATTTTCAAATAAACTCTTAACAGCCCATTTGAAATTTCCTATCAAAACATTTTTAAATCTGTAACGTTTAACATTCTCATGTCTTAATATGACTCCAAGTGAAATGCTGTTCTGCTTAAAAATTACACTTGTTTGTTTTGTTTTAATTTTCAGTAATATTTACCCAAATAGTACAGAATTGACTATGAAGATCAAGTAAAGGGGCAGCTGAAAAATGACATGTGTGGTTAAGAATATAGAAGTGCAAAAGCCACTTCAGCACGGCTATATGCAATATAGTCACCCTTAGGGTGTTTGCTTGGTCACATTCTCTTTTGGCATAAATAAACATAATTTGCTTAACTCAAACAATGCTGTAGGGGTGTGGATCAGTTCACAATCTGTCATCTTGAAATGGTGAGGAAGGGGAGATTTCCAACTGATAAGTGCAACATCTCCTCAGCTGCACTTGATCCATGTTCTGCCATCTCCTGTTACTCAGCATCAAGTAAGAATTCCAGATATTTGAGCCAAAAAAATTTGCAAATGGCTTATTTCTGGCAACACTGCTGCTCCTGCAGTCATTACTTCTGTCTGCACTAAAACATTTTAGTGTAACAGCAAGTCTCTTTTAAATCTGAAGGCAAATTACTCCCTATCTCCTGATCTTGATACCATGCTGCAAAATCCATGTGGGCTTTTTTTTTGAGAAATGACAGAAAAAGCACACGGAATGGAAGATTAGTTTTCTATTTACAATTTGATTGCTGCAACACCACGGAATTTGTCAGTGACATGCTGTAGGAAATAGTATCAGTAGTATCACGCAGCTAGACTTTTTAGCTCTTTGTGATAGTCTGAAAAGTGAAATAAAACCCATGGCATCCATCACTTCTGTATATTATATGCTTACTTTGTATATACTGACGAAAGATCCGAGAAAAGCTCCAAGTTGGAAATTTTCCTTGTTGTAGAAGAGGGAAAGTAGCTGGGATGGTTTTGTAAACAGATGCCGGAAGGCGGATGGGATCCGAAGGCAACACTGGATCAGGTAACCAATGCTAAACATCCTAACAAAGCCCTAAGAAACATGGGAAGAAACCACAAAATTAGAAAAAGGAAAAGCAAAAACATCTACAGAAGTACTTCTTTTTGACATCGAGCAGTTTAAAACCTTCTCTGCAGATAGTATGTAAAATGCATCTCCAGCTTCAAACTCAAGAACCTTGTTGGTTTTTTCCCTGATTCCCCTGTAAAATAGCAAAGGCAATAAAATAATAGACAATTGATTTTTCTTCTATTTCTATGAATATTTGAGGGGTCTCAATGGACAAGCTTTATTTCTCTTCTACTCCAAAATTCTGACTTTTGAAATAATCTTGATGACTTCATTCCCAGGTTACTGACCAGCTTTTAACCACAAATGGGTATATAGAGGAAAGTAGTGGGGTGGAAAAAAAAGAGCACTTCTACACTCAAGCATCTGGAGAAAACACCGAAGGAGAAAAAAGACCATAAAAAATAAATTCCACAAGTGTGAGAACTAGAAATTGACCCTGGTGGCTTGGCATGTGCTCACACACTTTCCCTCCATGAAAGTGGTGGCTGAGTGATGCCAGCAGCAAGAAAAAGGGCAAAACTGGAACAGAGATTATGTGCAGAGCTACAGAGAAAGGATAACATGGATTCCAATGATTTTTTCTTACTACTCCACCTTGGATACAGACCTGCATCTTTATACCATGTCACGATTTCACACTGACTTTTTCTTTCCAAATTGTTCTCACCAGCTTATTCTCACTTCCTACACAGCTTCCTATCATTATTCTTACCCAGTGGCTGAACTTCTCCAATCATTCCTAACAAAATCTTACCTATATTCTGGTTGGAAGATGTCTTATCTGAAAATTATCCATGCATTCACCATTGACAAATAAAGAGTGGCAGGCAGTGCTCAGGATTTCTCTAGTTCAATTTCCAGAGACACTTGGAGACACCAAAACAATTCCAGTTGCAGGGATAATTGGCAGAGGGTTTGATTGAGCAACCTTGCAAACTCAGAAACTCAAAATATTTTTGCCTCCTACAGAACTTTATAACGTGTCAAAAAGCTAATAAAATTTTATTATGGTTATACATCCAGTAATAAGCTTTTCCTGAAACAATTACTCTCCCTGCTTCTCAAAAAAGTTGTTTATGAGAATCAAGTGGAAGAAAATATATTGTGTCATCCAATGATCTAGTAGGTATAAATGAAAAACTGCCAGTTCTTCCTCTGCTACTTTTAAAGGTATGTAAACTGCATGTGCTGAACAGCTAACAGCTCTGTATTTTCTGATCTTGTAATGCAAATGCCTACTGGAAGGTATGAGAGGCAGGCAGAGATGTAAATGCACTGTGAATTTTGTGTAGTTAAAATGTCAAAATTAAGATTAACATATATTCACCCCTAAAAGAAAGAGGTTCCCTAGTGTGAAGTACATAGCCCCCATCTCCCACAAAAGATGAGATTATTATGATACCAGGTACCATTATATAAACAGAAAGTCCTGCACCAGCAGCTGTGAATAAAGCCCAAAACAAGAGAACAAACCACAGTACATTATGTTTGACTTTTCAACCCTGCTGTAGAGGAAAAGTTATTCTGATGGAATGAGGAACACTGCATTAGGAAACATTTAAATTCCAACTGGAAACACTCAAATATATCTGAAATTTTATTTTTCTGAGTAGCCTACTTAGAAGTGCAAAACTGAAGGACTGAAGCTTAGTTTTGATGAGCACCAAACAGCAATAAATAGTGCACAAAATCTTTATACTTAGCTCATTAAACCAACCAGGTGAATCCACATCACACTTATGGGTGTTTTTCACATTCACAGAAAATATTATGTCTTATAATCAATGCACAGTATTGTAACTTTCATGTTCCATAAAAATACCACAAATAAAAACTGTGGTAGAAAACAGTAGAGCATATGCAGGACACTACAATAAACATAAGTGAATGAAGAAAACCCTGCCAAGAGCCATTTCTTCACAGAAATTTTGGGTTGGGACTCAGATCAGCTAGAAGTAGCAGCACAGTGAGACTATGTATCTGCAAAACTCATTTAGTGTTGGACTCAGTAGAATATGGTTGATGGTTGGACTTGATGACCTTAATGGCCTTTTCCAACGTAAGTGATTCTGTGATTCTGTGAGTAAACCCTTTTTATTTTCCTTTTTGAGAAACAGATTTCTTAAATAACTAATAATTCAATTAAGACACTGGCTAAAACTCAAATTCAGTAAAGCATGTGTATGCACATAAACAGAGTTCAGTAACACACCAGAACTCAGTCAACCTGCTGCAGCATATTAGGAATTAATGAAGGTATTTAAAATTTCTGCGTATATGTTTGTTGGTGTTCCTTGAAGAGACAGAATGTAGAGATTACAATAATCAGAAAATAATCTCATATTCTTTTTGGTCATCCCAGTCATGAGGTAAGTTGTGAGGGTCATCTAGTGTTATGTGCAGCATCAGCAGAAAAAATGGACAACTGAACAATGACTGCTGGATAATTTCTCCTTATTGTAATCAATCAGAATCAGAAAAGTGGGAAAACATTGTTTGACTGCTTCTGGTAGCTCCCTTCAAATATTTACAAACGCAAAATATTTTAGGTATTTAAAATTTGAAGAGAAGTCTATGAAATCAGGTGGTATGCCATACTAGATATTACATAAAAGCCATGATGGATTATGACAGCTAGTTAACATGTATTTAAATGAGAAGCAGGAGAAAGAGCATGCAAAGACAATTAAAGCACAGAGATGATGGTGAGAATACAAGATATTCAAGGGTAAGGGAAAAGGACAGGCAACTTTGGCAATAAGCAGCTCATTGATTCATTATCAGATCTGAAAGCTCCTTTACAGGCATGGAATTACAAAAAACATGCTCAAATCAATGCTCTGTTGCATATATTCCCATTGTAATTCAGCAGACAACTTAAGCACCATCTCAAATCCTATCAAATCCAGAGCAATTTACAGCCATTTTACACAGTGATATTCTAATATAATGCAGTGTAAGAGTGTAAAAACCTTTACAACGTAAAATCATGTTCTTAATGAACATACATGAATGAATCTTATGCTAGATCTCTTCTGATAGCTCTTCTGAGATAATATTGGGTGTATGAAAAAAATTAATTTAAAACAGTTAATTTTGAAAGTAATATGTACCAAAAGCATCTGAAGATAATAAAACCCATTTTTGCTGTTCCATAAACAAAAAGGGGTAAATTACAAAGTGACTGAGATCTCCTGGAGTCTTACCAACCCCTAAAACAGGCATAGCAGGTGGTGCCACCTGTGCCAGCCCAATGCCAGCCAAAAAAACCCAACCCTCTTCTACAGAGTACTCCTGAAACAAAAATGTGCTGATCACATTAATAAAGGAGGATGCATGATGCCACCGGACATAAGCAGTTCTTCCTGGGTGCAGCAACTGTGACCAATCTCTCATTACCCTGATCCCTTAAAATAAATGAATGGAGGAGTGTGCCCAGCACCCAGCAGCAGCGTGCCAGACCCTCGCAGTTGGACGTGTGCCCGGGCCAAAGCAGCACATTCCAGGTGCTTTATTTAGGGTGGAGTCACAAGTGGGCTCAGCCGTGAAGTGCATCACATAGTTAAACAAGTTCCTTGCTCGCTACTCCATTTCTTCCCACACGTTTTATGTTATTCATTCATGACAGCTAATCTGAAAGAGCAGAGAACTTTAACCCCACCACACCCCATCCTAAATCAAGAAAATCTGTTTTCAGGCTTGTCACATTTTCAATAGAAGAATGGGAAACAGGCTCTTTTCTCACTTTCTAAGTTTATGCCTTTTCTGACTGAAGACTTTCACCCTGTCTTTGCCAGAGTTTGTCAATCTCACTTTTTCTGCACTTACTTTAATACAATATGAGATGCAATTATCTCCATAGTGTTTACAGCATCTGTGCCTCGGGCCATGTTTGCACCTGCAAAGAGCACAATGAAACACATATTAACTCATGGCTGTTTTCAGTGTCATCGACAGGAGACTTCATAAATTTTTCTTGCCTAAAAAAACAGAAAGTGCTATTTTCCCACCACTCATTCTCCCCATTACAGATTGAAGGGCACTGTGAACTGTGGACAATAAAAATGAACAATACTTCAGCTGTACAGCAAGAAGTGTCTGCACACTTCTTTGGAGCCAAGCTCTTGCCACGCTACATATTAAATACAAAATTAAAGCATAAATCTTCTGCTGTGGTCAACAGGAAGAAGTGGTGTAGCCCTTCCCAGTGGTTCTGGAAGGATATTTAACCAAGCATCCATTATCTGTGTCCTTACATCATTCATACCATTGTAAGGTTCATTGGAGGCCAATACAGAACATACAAATGCAGAGAGACACCCTGTGAAACTTCTCTCAATTACAAGGTATTCACTTCTGTGCTGTTTCTTCTCCTGTGATGATTTTTATGTAGCTCTCACTTCAGACTGAGAATTTGACCTTGAGTATTTAAAAGAGATTGGCTTGGAATGGTGGGATGCCTGGATTGTACAGTTGTTACCCCTTCATTATGCAGAATTAAAAGAAGTAATGTCATACCAGGTCTGAATATTACATTTTGCTACAGCCAAGTATTTAAATTGTAATGCAAAATAAATTACACAATGTATATACTGTGCCAAATATCTTGGAAGTTTTGAATCATATACTATAAAGTCTAATGGCCATAAATCATGTAAGGTCAGTTTATATAGCAAAAAATGTAATGAGAATGTGATCAGGTTACAGGCATTTAGACTCAATTATACTGAAAGGAACCATATGGAAGAGCTGTGAGAGTATTAGGACTGAAAATTGAAAGTTTTCTGAATGCCTGAGTTGGAAGTCTCAAAATCTTAAAGAAAAAAACTGCTGTTCTCCACCCACAAACCCTGATCATTGTATTCAACAAACAGTAGAAGAGCTGAACTATTTAGCAAACTGAAAAAGGAGCATTTAAGGCAAAATATGTAGAAGCACCTCAGCTAAAAGAATCTGCATATGGTTGGAGCTGTCTTCTCCTTGTAGGTCTTTGTTGTCTAATACAGTCAAGTCTAAGAAGCCACTGGTGACTTCCTTCTATTTTTCAATTAAAACCAGAAAGAAACCATAGGAAGTTGCCATGTGATGTAGGTCACTTCATTTTTGTTCATGATCTGAGCACAGAAGATCACTGCTTTGAAAACACAATGCACTTGGAAGACTTATTTCTCTCCTGCATAGCAGCAGGTAAAGATTTGGTCATAAAATGAGCAGGCCTGGAGAGGTCAATAGAAGTGAAGATTCATAGTTGTGGTACAAACAGACTCCTAATCCATTTTTTATTCCATGTTCCTTCTAAAGGAATTACTCCTTGTGGTACCCAACGTGCCTGAAGCAGACAAATCAAGTACAGCAGAACTACATCTGACCATATTAACTGACAAGCTATCTGAGGTGATTTCTTTAAGCTCATACTAAGAGACAATGAATTGGATCCTGTACCTGGGAGGGAACCTATCTTTCCCAGCTTCAGATGCCTAGATTAGAGCTTGTGCAAAACAGTTTAGACTCACTCTTTGCAATTTCCTATTTCCTGACAAGGGAGAAAGTCCAGGTGCTATCAATCCTGCTCTTATGCCATTCTCCTTTGTCACTCAGAACTGATTGAATTTACTCTCCCTTGTTAGACAACTGCATGTTGCAAGTCATTGCTATGATATAAAAATATTAAATATTGCTTTCATGAGAGTCCATGATTTGTCAATGCAAAGGAAAAGTATAAAATATTGTCAATACAGTATAACAAACCATTCAAATGAGCTAGAGTAAGAATGATTAATCTTGTTGTATTCTTCTTTTCTTTTCTTTGACTCACACTTTGTCCACGAGCTTTTTGGTTAGAGCCAGTATGTTCATTGGCTGTGATGTTTTTTCACAATGCTTTATCTTTCGATCTGTTTTTGAAAATGCTGCTTCAGGTGAAAATGAATGAGTAGGGATTTCTTCTTTC